AGTCCTCATGGCTTTTAAAAGTTGTGAACAAGTAATACTTCCATAAATTCTCACTTAATTACAAATCCCACTAATTTCTTTTTCTTCTTTCCCAGGGACAGCCACTGCAAAGGGTTAGATGTGTATTCTTCCAGTCTAGCTTTTGTATTTTTATGAGGATGGAGAGATAGACAGGTATATAGTTTAGTGTTTCTCAAAGTGTGATCTTCAGACCAGCAGTATCAGCATCACCTGGAAACTTGTGAGAAATGCAAATTCTTAGGTCCCTACTCTAGTCCTGCTGAATAAGAAGCCCGGGGTGGGCGGGGGGGGGGGGCGGTTGGGGACAGCTGTTTTTAGTGAGTCCTTCAAGTGATTGTGATGCACATTGAAGTTTGAGAACCATTGTTCATGTAGGTCTTTTTTTTTTGAGTCTTCCTCTGTCACCAGGCTGGAGTGCAGTGGCACAATCTTAGCTCACTGAAACCTCTGCCTCCTGGGTTCAAGCGATTCTTCTGCCTCAGCCTCCCAAGTAGCTGGTACCACAGGCGCATGCCACTACACCCAGCTAATTTTTTTTTTTTTTTTTTTTTTTAGTAGAGACAGGGTTTCACCATGTTGGCCGAGATGGTCTCGATCTCTTGACCTTGTGACCCACCCACCTCGGCCTCCCAAAGTGCTGGGATTACAGGCATGAGCCACCACACCTGGCCATGTCATTGTCTTTAACTGCTGTTGCAGTGTTCCCCAAATCGAATATTCCATTTTTAAAAAGAGATTAAGTCTTGCTATTATGTTGCCAAGGCTGGTATCAAACTTCTGGACTTAGGCAATCTTCTTCCACCTCAGTCTCCACACAGCTGCAACCAGAAGCATGCACCACCACACCCAGCTTGACTATACCATGTTTTAAATTCCATATTGTCAAGAATTTAAGTTACTTTTCTTTACAAAATTAACGTTAATGCAAAGTAAACTATTAGCAGAGTGAAAAGACAACCTACAGAATGGGAGAAAATATTTACAAACTATGTATCCAGCAGAGGATTAATATCCAGAATATACAAGGAACTCTGACATCTCAACAGCAAAAGAAAAAAAAAATCCAGTTAAAAAATGGGCAAATGACCTGAATAGACATTTCTCAAAAGAAGACAGACAAATGACCAACAAATATATATATATTTTAAAAAAGCTCAACATCACTGGTCATCAGGGAAATGCAAATCAAAACCATAGTGAAGTATCATCTCATCCCAGTTAAAATGGCTACTATCAAAAAGACAAAAAAATAGCAAAAATATTTTCTCCCACTCTGTGGATTGTTGTTTCATCTTCTTGATAGTGTCCTTTGACACACAAAAGTTTTTATTTTGATGAAGCCCAGTTTATCTTTTTGTTGTTGTTGTTGCCTGTGCTTTTTTGGTGTCATATACAAGAAATCATTGCCAAATCCAATATTGGAAATAGTTTTTTTCTATGTTTTATCTAGCAATTTTATAGCTTTACTGTTAAGTTTTGGTCTTTGATCTCTTTTGAGTTAATTTTTGTATATGATGTAAAAGAAGGGTCTATCTTCATTCTTTTGCATGTGGATAATCAGTTTTCCAAGCATTATTTGTTGAAAAGATGGTCCTTTCTCCATTGAATGGTCTTAGCACCTTTGTCAAAAATTGTTTGGTCATGTGTGAGGTTTTCTTTCTATGCTCTCTATTCCATTGGTCTATATGACTGTGCTTACGCTAGTATGACATTGTTTTGATGACTGTAGCTTTGTAATAAGTTTTCAAGTAAGAAAGTGTGAGTCCTCTAACTTCATTCTTTTTCAAGATAATTTTGACTATTATATGGTTCTTTGAGATTCCATGTGAATTTTAGGATGGGTTTTTCTTTTTTTTTGCAAAAAATGCCATTGGGATTTTGATAGGGATTGCACTGAATCCATATATTGCTTTGGGTAATATCGTTACCTTAACGATCTAGGAATGTGGGATATCTTTCCATTTATTTATGTTTAATTTCTTTCAGCAATGTTTTATAGTTTTTTGTTGTATATGTTTTTCACCTCCTTGATCCTAAATATTTTATTTTTGATGCTATCATAAGTGGAATTATTTTCTTAATTTCCTTTTTGTATTTTTCATTGCTAAGGCATAGAAATACAGCTGATTTTTGTGTGCTGGTTTTGTATTTTATGACTTTGAATTTATTAGCTCTAATGATTTGTTTTTGGTATGTATATGTCATCTTTAGGGATTTCTATATATATATCATCTGTGGGTAGGCATAATTTTGCTTTTTTCTGTCCTATTTGGATGACTTTTCCATCTTTTTCTTGCCTAATTGCTCTGTCTAGAATTTGTAATACTATGTCAAGTAGAAGTAGAAAAATTGGGCATCCTCATCCTGTTCCTGATCTTAGAGGAAAAACTTTGAGTCTTTCACTATTGAGTATGTCATTAGCTATTGGTTTTTAATATATGGCTTTTATGATGTTGAGGGAATTTCCTTCTAATTCTAGCTTGAGTGTTTTTTATCATGAACGGTGTTGAACTTTGTCAAGTGGTTTTTCTCCATTGATTCAGATGATCATGTGGAGTTCCTTCTTTATTAATGTGGTGTATTAAATAGAATTTTTTTGTTGTTAAACCATCTTGTGCTCCTGGAGTAAGTTTCACATGGGGTATTATCCTTTTAATATGCTGCTGATTTTGTTGAGGTTTTCATCAATATTCCCAAGATATATTGGTTTCTGGTTTTCTTGTAGTATCTTTGTCTGGCGTTGGTATCAGGGTAATGTTGGACTCATATAACTAATAAGGAGAAGTATTCCCTTCTCTTTAATTTTTTGTAAGTGTTTGAGAAGGATTCTTCTTTAAATATCAGGTAGAATCAACCAGTGAAAGCTATCTGGTCCTGGCCTTTTCTTTGGGAGCTTTTTGATTACTGATTTGATCTTACTAGTTACAGTTCTATTTAGATTTTCTATTTCCTCATGCGTCAATGTTCGTAGAGTATGTGTTTGTAGGAATTTGTCCACTCTATCCAGGTTATCCAAATTGTTGGCATACAGTCTTATATAGTATTGTCTCATAATCCTTTTTTATTTTTGTAAAATCAGTAGTGTCACCTCTTTCTTCTTTTCCTTTTTTTTCTTTTGTTTCTTTCCTATTTCCTTTTCTCTCTTTCCTTCCCCTTCCCCTTTCTTTCCTTTCCTTTTTTTTTTGAAATGGAGTCTTGCTCTTTTGCCCAGGCTAGAGTGCAGTGACATGATCTTGGCTCACTGCACCTCTGCCTCCTGAGTAGCTGGGACTACAGGCATGCTCCACCATGCCTATGCAATTTTTGTCTTCTTAGTAGAGAAGAGCATTTCACCATGTTGGCTAAGCTAGTCTTGAACTCCTAACCTCAAGTGATTCGCCTGCCTCAGCTTCCAAAGTGCTGGGATTACAGGTGTGAGCCACATGACTGTCCATGTCACCACTGTCATATCTGACTTTAGTAATTTGGTGTTCTCTCTGTGTCTCTCTTATGTTTTTTTGTTAATTAATCTACCTAAAGTTTTGTCAATTTTGTCAACTTTTTCAGAGAATCAGCTTCTGGTTTTGTGATTTTTCTCCACTGTTTTTCTGTTCTCTGTCTTCACTCTAATCTTTATTATTTTCTCCTTCTGCTAGCTTTGGTGTCGTTTACTCTTTTTCTAGTTCTTTGAGGTGTATGGTTAGGTCATTGAGTTGAGAACTTTCTTATTTTTTAATGTGTTTACAGCTATACATTTTTCTTTTATCCCTGTATTCACTGTACTCTATAGTTTTAGTATTTTGTGTTTTCATTTTCATTTGCCTTAAGATGGTTTCTAATTTACTTTGTGATTTTTTTTCTTTGATCTATTGGTTAAGATTCACAAATTTTCACATATTTGTGAATTTTTTAGTTTTTCTTATTTGTTTACTTTCTTTGCTGAACTGCAAGAATTTTTAATTTTTCATCTGCTGGTTTCATTTCCATCATGATCAGAAAACATACTTTGATTTCAGTTTCTTTAAATGTATTAAGACTTATTTTGTACCCTAACATATGGTCTGTTTTAGAGAATGTTCTATGTACATTTGAGAAGAATATATTATGCTGGTGTTAGGTTCATTTAGTTTTTGACATGTTACATTTGAGCATACAGGTAGGTGGAGATGTGAGATGTTGTTCATTTAGGAGAAAAGCCAAGGGAAGAAATTTGTTAATGAACTGTAAAGAGGAGTTGACATCACAATAGATAATTTTTTTTGAGAAACAAATTTAGAGCAAGAGAACAGCCTTGAATATATTCTTATTTAAAAGGCTGACGGTTGAAAAATAGCCTGGAATGTTAGAAAACGATGGAATACTTTATCATAGACCATAGGCAAGATAGTATAATATTTAGACTTTAAATACCAAAAAGAAGAGATGATCAGCTGAATTCAAAGTTGAAGGCTAGGCGTGGTGGTGGCTCACGCCTGTCATCTCAGCACTTTGGGAGGCTGAGGCAGAAGATCACTTGAGCCCAGGGGTTTAAGACCACCCTGGCTAACATGGCAAAAACCCATCTGTACTAAAAATAGAAAAATTAGTCAGGCATGGTGATGAGCACCTGTAATCCCAGCTACTTGGGAGGCTGAGGCAGGAGGATTGACCCCAGGAGGCAGAGGTTGCAATGAGCTGAGATCATGCCTCCAGCCTGGGCAACAGAGGAAGACTCCATCTCAAAAAGAAAAAAAAAATGTTCAGAAAACAGCTCCCTTGTTTGGGAAGGACTATTTTTTATATTCCTTTAATAATTCAATAAAGTAGAAAAAAGATGTGGTGTTTTTATTTGGGAAACATTTAAATGATGACCACTACGTAAATTATGGAATTGAAAACCGCAAATATAAATTATGCAGTCTTTATAGTATGAGCTTTAGAGGCTGTTAATTTGCTATCATATTAGGTAAATCTGGAATAGAAGAAACTTAATATATTAACACTATATTTGAATTCTGTAGAAGTTGTTTCTGGACAGTCTACGAAAAGCCCTTGCTGGCCATGGAGGAAGTAGGCAGCTGACAGAAAGTGCTGCAATTGCCTGTGTCAAACTGTGTAAAGCAAGTACTTACATCAATTGGGAAGATAACTCTGTCATTTTCCTACTAGTTCAGTCCATGGTGGTTGATCTTAAGGTAACATGCTTATTCTTTCTCTACTACAAACTTTAAGAAAATTAAATGAATTTTCTAGCATAAGTATTATGTCACAGATATGCTAACATTAAAGTTCTGATTCTTCGATAAGTTCATAGGACTTACTTTTGTTGTTAATATGTTCATCAGCCTAAATGGACTGCAAATATGAAAAAAAACACCAGTTTCTCAAATAAGCATAAATATATGGACTTGGGTTTAAAATAATGTGGCAATTAGGGCCTGAAAGGAAGCTACATATGGTATAGGAACAATTGTATTCGACTGATGAACCACAGTATTGATGCTTTGTGCTTTTTCTGGCAGCTGAATTTTACTGCCATCTGTGTGAATGATGTGTTGATGTTATTACATAGTAGTAAAAGAAATACTGCATGGGTATTTAAAGGCTTTTGTTTTCTGTTGGGGTTTTTATAGAACCTGCTTTTTAATCCAAGTAAGCCATTCTCAAGAGGCAGTCAGCCTGCAGATGTGGATCTAATGATTGACTGCCTTGTTTCTTGCTTTCGTATAAGCCCTCACAACAACCAACACTTTAAGGTGAGAGCATTGGTTTTTATCTATGTTTACTGATGCTATTATCTTTTATAAATGAAAAGTCTGGAGAGATAAGGAGGTTCACCTTTATCAGTATTTCTCACTATTATGGATTACCGTTCATTTCAAGACCTTGAAAACTTAGTGTTTTTAAAAAACTTTCTACTTGCTGTTCTTTTTGTCTTCATTTGTATTACTGAATATTTTTCTCATAGAAATACTCTGCTTTTTTTTTCTTTTTTTATAGATCTGCCTGGCTCAGAATTCACCTTCTACATTTCACTATGTGCTGGTAAATTCACTCCATCGAATCATCACCAATGTAAGTCCAAAAGGTATTGCTCAGTTACTAAAAAAAATTTTTTCTTTCTTTTCTTTGCCATTTCTTTTTAAGAAATGCACTCTTGGTTTTCAGAAAGGTTCTGAATTTAGATGTATGGAGTAGGAAAATTGTTCCACGGTCATTATATTTGATAATTGACAAATATTTGTATTATTCATATTAAGTCTTGGCCCAAGGGACCATATTAAGGAAGATGGAGTTAATAAGATGCTTTGGAAACATTAAATCTGAAACATTTTATTCAGATCAGAAGCCCTTGAGAAAAATGCCACTGAAAATATGATTTAAAATTTTCATCCTAAAGCTTTTCAAACATAATTTTTGAATACTCTTAGCCCTTTCACAGCATTCAATACATTGACTTGCCACCTTACCATTTAAGTTAAAAGTAATAGTATTTATGTTGTAGTCCAGTATAGTACATTGACAAAATGGTGGGACTGTATTTGATAGTACTTTAAAATCTTTTGATCTTTTATTCATTCATAGTATACAATTTCATTTTTCTTAAAATAAAGTATTTATATACTTCAAAAGAGGTATCTACAAGATATAAAAGCATAACAGACAAAATAAGTGAAATTATTAAAAGGTACTTGGGATACCTTCAGCTCTGATGTGGAGACATTAAAATAGAATGACAGCAAAACTTTATCAAATTTGGACTGTGTTTTTTTTTTTTTTTTTTTTAAAGACAGAATCTTGCTCTGTTGCCCAGGCTGGAGTGCAGTGGTGTGATCTCGGCTCACTGCAACTTTCACCTCCCGGGTTCAAGCGATTCTTTTGCCTCAGCCTCCTGAGCAGCTGGGATTACAGGCTTATGCCACCCTGTCTGGCTAATTTTTGTATTTTTAGTAGAGACAGCGTTTTACCATCTTGGCCAGGCTGGTCTTGAATTCCTGATCTCAAATGATCCGCCCCCTTGGCTGTGGATTTTTAAAATTCTGTTCTTGTAATTATGAACAACCCTATTTTGAAAGTTTTCAGGTGTTATTTTCCATTGTTCCATTTTTATCAAATGATAGATATTCACACTTATGTGTAAATTGGTCAACATTTTCCTTCCTTAAAAGGGGCTTTAATTATTGAAACGTGGTATATTTGTCCTGTTAATAATCAAATTCCATTTTAAGACTGCCTCTGGTGAGTTGAAAATAACCCCTCACCCTCATTTGCCCTGGTTGTTGTGTTTATTTAAAATAAATGTTGCCCATATTCTAGCCATTCCTTCAGGGGAAAATTAACTATTGATAAAGCTATTTGGTGACACATTTAATTTTTCTCAGCAGGTGTTTAGTGAGCATTTTGGGAGGACAGTCCTTTGTTGTGCAGGATGCCTTGGGCATTGCAGGACCTTTAACATCTCATTAAGTGCCAGTTGTGCTGCATCTCCCCCATCCCTAGTCATTATGAATAACTAAACCTGCCTAAGGGAACAATACCTCCTCCCTTAGTTGAGTATCACTGAGTTGAATTGCAGGTAGAAGTAACACTGAATATGCTTTGTTCCAAAAGGGGAAGTTTAATGAAGATTGTAAATAACGTATGTTTGTATTAAAAATTTTTAAAATATTACTGTACTTTTGTCAGCATAATGAGCCAGGGCATTGTACCTTCAAGGTTTACTTTCAAGGCCATTTAAACAAAAGAAAAGATGGTTTTCCCTCTCAAGTTTATGTGTAATTCAGAAATAAGACAATGGTTTTTTCCCCTGTGGCTTATAACACTTAAAGTATTCAAAGAGTGGATAGCTTTACATAAATGCTTAAAATTTGTATATAATAAACCCAAATATATACTTTTTTGATACTTTGTGGCTAGTTACTTTAATTTTCAAATGTTTTTGTCTACAATTGACTATATAGAGCACTTTCAAGCATGGACTTGGCACTGCTGTAAGTGGCTGAGCTGCTCCTTTCTGGGTTCCAAGCATGCCTGGAGTGGTGCTTCATGCATGCCTCAGTGTACTTGGTGAAAGTGGCTGTGCATCCTCTTCTATTCTAATGAGCACTGCATGTGTGGAGGGTGGAGTGTGTCTGTATCAGAGGTCAAGTCATATGAAAATCTGTTTTTATAAAGAAAAAAATGATTAATTTTTAAATATGAAGTATCAGTAACTTTTCAATGAAATAACTTGAAAAGGAACGTAAATATTAGTTAAAAGTATCTTTTAAAATTATGCCTTGGGTAGTGATACTTTATTATTATAGATCGTGTGGTAAATTGTTTCACGCTAGGATATTTTCCCTGTATTTGAGGCTAATCGCTATTGAATCTGAAGTACTTTTTGATGGAAAAGGACTATTTATAAAGTGAAAATGCAAATTTATGAGACTGACTATTTTAGAGTTTCATTGAAGACATTTATTATGGAAATATTTTATGTCTTGAAAAATCACATGAAATTGTTCTTAGATATTTGAACTTACGATCTTAAATTCATTCATAGTGTAAAATTTCTTTTCTAATGATTCTTGGTTCAATGTACCTCATAAGTTCTCTTCTCCCATGGTTCTTTAGCCAGTCCACACATTTTTAAAGTATCACATTCTCAAATAAGATAAGAGTTTTGCTGATGTGGTGTATTGAGGGTTTATGTAAAAGTAGTAAGGTGTTTGGAGTTTTACTTTTGTGAAACATACTCATACTCAGTTCATAAGTACTGAATTTAGATCTAAAATATTCTAGTATTTCTTCTTAGAAAATTTTAAAATATATCCATTATTTGAATCTTACTATAATGCAAGTTTCTAGCAGTTGCTAAAATAGTAGTTGTACTGTCATCTTTATTATGTGCCATAAGAGATGAATTATAGTTGGAAGATTTATGTTATAGCCTTCCTTTAGGTTAAATTAGATATGTAATTGGAAAATTTAATAAGTAATATACAAACATATGAACCAGTTATCTTAGCCATCACTAGTACATACTATAGCTGGTATGGTACTTTATTTCTGGTTTTTCCTTATGGAAATTTATTGTAGTTTGAATAAATAGTTCACATACTAGAAATGAGGTGATCTCTTTCTCCTGAGAGGTTGTAGTTGAAAGGAATTATTTCCAAGGCATTTGAAAATTATTTAAATCTCTTGAGTTGCCACATAATTTGCTCATGTTGTGTAACTGTTGCCATTTGGCTATAAACTTGGTATTTTCAAGGAAAAAAGAGTAGTCTAATTGAGTGATTTTCAAGAAGGACACATTTAGTAACTGCCTCAAAATACTAAAATTTTTTGCCAACCATATGATGTTTAGTTTTTTATGCTTATTTTATTTTGAAAATGTATCTTTTATTTAAAAATGAGTATATTATGAAAAATGAAAACTATGAAAATTACTAAGTCTTATGCCTAAAGTTATTTTATATGGTACACCTGATACCACAATACAGTTTAAAAAGCTGTAAAAAATGACAGCAATTTGAATAGGATGTTATATGGAATACCTATCTTAGTTTATCAGTTTCTGACAAGATCTTATGAGATGTATTGGGTGAGGAAGACCCTTCACTCAGTGTACTTTATTATTATTCAGCTTTTTGTTACTTTAGGCTGATTAACACAAGCTGTATAACTTAGTTAAGTATAAGGAAATCAAGTTGCATTGGTTGCTTTGGGCAAATCAGGTGGTCAAAATTGCCGAGAGTTGGAGGAATCCATTATACTATCAGACTCATAATTGATCATTTGTAGGAAATAGATTATATAAAGTGGGAGTTGAGGGAAAAGTGTAAACAACCATACTGTCCCAGAAAAGCGTTTCTTCCCTCCAAGCTTGGGGCTCCTTCCTGCATGGAACTCCAGTTCAGTATTCAAAATGTGTAGCATAAGTTGGTTTTATATTTTACTATCCAGTGAAAAGGATTTGTAATCCACAGTTTAGTTAAGGTGATATACATTGATGCTACTCAAAATATTCTGAGAATTTCAAGTGAATAAATTAAAATGTTGAGACTTAGCTTAGTTTTGAATAAGAAAAAAAAATCTGGGAATGAGATGTGAGGTTATTAAATCTCTCTTATCTACAATTTGAATGTATTATTCTTCCAGATATTTCTTATAAACATCTGGAGTATTATAAATTAGAAGCCTATATTTTAGGTCATTTCATGCTTATTCCTTATATGTAGTGAAAATTCATCTAGTCATTTTTGTATTAAATGTTTGACTTTATAGAATAGTGATTTTCATAATTGCCATTTTTTAATAATATATCAGGTCATTCATTTTAAAGTTAAAAGATACACTTTCAAATAAACTAGGCACTGAAAACTAGACATCAAAGCTAAACAGGTTAAATTGAAATTGAAAATATATAAAGTAATTAAAAATACGTATTTCGCTAGGATCAGTTTGTCTTTGTTTATGGTGATTGTTAGTCTCCCGTGTATCGTGTCATTATTGCATATCAATTTAAGGTTATAGGTTTACTTAATAATAGCTTTATTTCATTTACCAATTTCATGTTGTAATTATTGTTGTCTGTAAACATATAAGTAATGGTTTTCCACATATCCTTTCAATACTGTGTTGAACCACTAATCACTTTTAAAGCTTTAATAATACCATTCTTACCCGGGAAAACATATCACATGTATGCATGTGTTTCAGAAATTGTAAAACATTAAGCTTAAAAAACAAAAGAAAAATATTGGCTACAGATTAGCTCTCTGAAGACTTTGTTTTTTAAATTCACTGGCTTATCATTGAGAAAAGATAGTCACATATGCACATGTTCATGAAGTGGGCAATTTGTCTCATGTTCATTATTAGCTTTTATAATATAATATGTATGATTTAGTGTTTGAATTAAAGACATTGTTTGAAGATTTTGGAAATCATGGTGTGTGTTTGCATGGTCTTAGAAAGTTCCTGACAAAAGGATAAAACTTAAAACTTCAGTGATAACTAGAACATACAACTCATGTAATTTTGTACTTTTTCTTTCTTATGGTCTTTTTCTGTAGTCGGCATTGGATTGGTGGCCTAAGATTGATGCTGTGTATTGTCACTCAGTTGAACTTCGAAATATGTTTGGTGAGACACTTCATAAAGCAGTGCAAGGTTGCGGAGCACACCCAGCAATACGAATGGCACCGGTAATTTTGAATCTCACCTCCTTTCTATTGCATTTTTAGTGTCTTTATCCCATTCCTGCTGCTTTGATTATTTTAGAGAATTGAATGGATCCTTCATTTCCTATAAATGTTGTGGTATGTTGTATACAGCAATATTGTTGAATACTAGTTAATAATGTTTGTTTTCCACTGTTTCCATGAGTTGAACTTACTTTTCTTAAATTTTCTCACAAAACACTGAAAGTCTTAATGAATGCCCCCTTTTTTTCTCTTTTTAAAGTCTTGTTTCTCTTTAACTTTAGAATGAAAAAATTTTGATCAGCTTCTCACCTTTTGGGGATGAGTAAGGGAAGCTGACTCCTGGGTTAGAGTGAATGTTCCTGCGAATGCACATTTTAGCTCATTGGATCCTGACTGTTACACTTAGGAAATAAATACAATTTGGAGTTTTCATATTTAAAATAAAAATATTTTATATTTCAGTAAATATGCTTTGATCCTTTAAAAATGATAGGCACTTTGATATTGACATTTGACTATAAACCTGATAAAAAAGACTGAAAATTGGGAATTCCCACAGATTATTGCTCTTAATATGAAATATAAAAACTCTTATGGAATCAATTAAAAAAGATTGTGGAAGTCATTCTTGATGTTTATGTATAGCAAGAGTATTATACATGGCAACTCTTGACATTGATTGGTGGTGCTTTGTCTTCTGCTTCTTATTTTCTATTCTTATTGGCTGCTGTCGCTCACATGATCAGATGCCAACCAGTCACTGTTTTGCATGGCAGTGGGCTTCTGTGGCTGTAAGTATGACCCATTGTAACTACCTCAGAAAAGTCCTTGGTTTCTTTGACTTTTCTGTGTATAGTTACTATTATAGTCACATCTTGTTATTTCAAATGAAAATGTAGCTTGTCTTCACCTGTTGGTTTCATCTAGTAAATCAGTCATTTCACTTTAGGAGATAATTTAAACAGCTTCCTCCCTGGCATGCTTCTCTTTTTCCAAGTCCCCTTAGTCAAGGAAATATTTTGGTTTTATACAGTTGTGGTTCACTCTTATCCAGTTGTCAGTAATTATTTCTGAGGATTGTTTATCTTAAATGTTCAAATGGAGAAGTTTTTTATGCCATATATTCTGGGATTATTGAGCCTAAAAAATACAGACAAAAGATCATGGCAATGATGTTTTCTTAAGTAAACTGTAAAATGCAAGGTTACCTTTTAGTTGACTTTTTGTAATGCCAAGTACTTCATTTTTTTTTTAAGTTTAAAAGATTTTCAGTACAGGTATAATTGGAGGTAAGCATAAATAATAGCTGCTTAAGTGTTATTTAACAAGACATTTTAAAAAATCTTTAAAAACTACTTGAAATAAGTTGTTTAAAAGTTATTTGTTGACCTGTTTATTCCAGAGATTTTCTGGGAAATTAGCAGTTTATTTGACTTTTTAAGTTTACTATCTTTACTGGTAGAAAATTAATGGCCTCCAAAAATAGGGCTTGGTGGGAGGTTAATATTTACTTCCTATTTAACCTCAATATCTACTCCACCAGCTGCCCATAATTTTCTGTGCATGAGGACTAAACGAAAATGAAATGAAATGAAATGATTCTTTTGAACAAAGATAAAATTTGATTGGCAATCTGAATACATTCTTTACACTTAGAAGTTATTTTACTTCTTAGCCCTAGTTACAAGCTGATTCTTAGAGCTACATATTATTTTACTGATCATTATTTAAAAAACCATAACTAGAGAGAGTTTCCTCTTTTGGCCCAAAGGCCCCTGTAGTAAGAATTTAGTTTTTATTTATAATTATTTTCTGAAAATGTCAATAGACATTTAATTTTCAAAGTCATTCTTAAGCTGTTTATGTTTTTGAAATTTTATATGTATATATATTTGTACATAATGACTAAAAGACAGCTTCTGGGCTGATACTTCCATGAGATACAATAAATAGCAAATTTAATATGAATCAATTTTTTGGAATAAGAAAATTTTAGATTTTGGATGGCTGTTAGGGTAAATCTCATCCCTCATAAACTTAGTTAATAGATAACCAGTATGGAAGTATTGACCTTCTTCTGTTTGCCAGGCAAGAATGCTAATGCCAGAGAAGCATGATGAACTAAACAAACATCACACTTTCTCTCATAGAGATTCCAAGCAAACGGCTTGTAGCTTTTGCTTGAAAATGCCTAATGAAGAACTCACACTGGGCATGGTGGCTAAGGCCTATAATCCCAACACTTTGGGAGGCATTTATTTCCAAGGCGTTTGAAAATTACTTGAATCTCTTGAGGAATTGCCATGTAATTTGTTCATTTTATGTAACTGTTGCCATTGGCTATAAACTTGATATTTTCAAGGAAAAAAAGTAAGTCTACTTTAATTGACTGATTTTCAGGAAAATCACATTTATTAACTGTGGAAGGACACATTTAGATCACCTGAGGTCAGGACTTCGAGACCAGCCTAGCCAATATGGCAAAACATCGTCTCTACTAAAAATACAAAAATCAGCCAGGCATGGTGGTTTTTAATCCCAGCTACTCAGGAAGCTGAGGCAGGAGAACCACTTGAACCCTGAGGTGGAGGTTGCAGTGAGCCAAGATCGCACCATTGTTCCAGTCTGGGCAACAAGCGAGAGTCTGTCTCAATAAATAAATAAATAAGAGATAACTTACTACATGTGGCATGGAGTCTGGCAACACAAGCAAATATGTAATAAATGGTTTACAGATAATACCTAACACCAGAGTTTCTCACTGTTGGCACTGTTAACATTTTGGACCGGATAACTTTGTTATAGGGGGCTGTACTGTGCATTCTGGAGTATTTATAGCATCTCTGGCCTCTATCCACTAGATGCCAATATTCCCCTTACTCCCTAACCCCTTCCAGTCTTGAAAACCAAACATGCCTCTGAATATTTCCAGATGTCCCCTGGGGGACAAAAATCACCCCCCAGTTGAGAACCACTGTATTACAGCATATGTTCAGAGGGTTGTGCCTCATTTGTATTGCCTCAAATGATTTGGGACTGTGATAAACCCGAGCCATTAGCTTGCTTCAGAAGTAGCGATCAAGGAGTTCAATTTACAAAACAGTGAAAGTAAAATAATATCTGTTTCAAGGCTTTACAAACACTTTGTATTTTGGAGAGACAAGTTACTTGTTGGAAGGAGCTATTTGAAAATTTTCTCTTCAACCAAGGTAGAAACATGTCTCTGTTACTTCCAGCCATCATTGATTCTCTTTCTTTTGGAGTTCTGTGGAATTCTTCCACAAGGCAGCCCTGCAGATATTTGATTAAGAATCCTTAATCAGAATTCTATTCTGTACTCCTAGAATGCTTTATATTTTTATATAGTTTTGGCATTGGAAGAGATTTTATTCTTTTAGCTCCTTTTTTTCCCCTTGAGACAGAGTCCTGCTCTATCACCCAGGTTGGAGTGCAGTGATGCAATTTTGGCTCACTCCAACCTCCACCTCCTAGGTTCAAGTGATTCTCCTGCCTTAGCCTCCCGAGTAGCGGGGATTACAGTGCCCACCTTCATGCCCAGCTAATTTAGCATTTTTAGTAGTGACAGGGTTTCACCATTTTGGGCAGACTGCTTTTGAACTCTGACCTCAAGTGATTCACTTGCCTTGATCTCCCAAAGTGCTGGGATTATAGGTGTGAGCCACCACACCCAGCCTTTTTAAGCTCTCTTTAACAGTGTATGTGTTTGTTGGGTCTGTTTTTATAGCTAAGGAAACTGAAGCTTAAATAAAGTTATATTAATAACAGATAGTTACATGGTTAATGAATAGTCAACCAGAGTTAGTTCTGTGGTTTCTTGACATTCAGTTCAGTGTCTGTCAGGTTCTTTAGTTGTCCTTCACTAGCAAGTTAGCTTGATGAAAGCAGGAGCTTTGGCTTATTCAACACTGAATCCCTAGCTTTTGAACAATGCCTGGTACATACTGGACATTTAGTACGTATTTGCAGAATGAATGAAGGAATGAATTTCTTACTTGATCTAGTTTCAAAACCCTCCTCCAGGCCAGGCACGGTGGCTCACGCCTATAATACCAGCACTTTGGGAGGCTGGGGCGGGCAGATCACTTGAAACCAGGAGTTTGAGACCTCCCTGGCCAACATGTCTCTACTAAAAATACAAAAAAATTAGCCAGGCCTGGTGGCAGGTGCCTGTAGTTCCAGCTATTCAGGAGGCTGAGACAGGATCCCTTGAAACCAGGAGGTGGAGGTTGCAGTGAACCAAGATCATGTCACTGCACTCCAGCCTGGGCAACAGAGCAAGACTCTGTCTCAAAAAAACAAAAACAAAAACAAAAAGCCAAAACCCCTCCTTGATCTGATTTGCTTCTCTTCTGGAAAGGCCAACCTAACAAAAATTTTTAAAATTAAAATGCCATGTTAAGATCTGATGTTAATATTAAACCGTTGTGTTTGTATACTCTGTTTCTATGAATATAATCTAAGATAGTATTATTTTATATTGACTTTTTAGTTATTTAAACTCTTTGGCTATTTTTTTTTTTTTGAGACGGAGTTTCGCTCTTGTTACCCAGGCTGGAGTGCAATGGCGCGATCTCGGCTCACTGCAACCTCCGCCTCCTGGGTTCAGGCAATTCTCCTGCCTCAACCTCCCGAGTAGCTGGGACTACAGGCACGCACCACCATGCCCAGCTAATTTTTGTATTTTTAGTAGAGATGGGGTTTCACCTTGTTGACCAGGATGGTCTCGATCTCTTGACCTCGTGATCCACCCGCCTTGGCCTCCCAAAGTGCTGGAATTACAGGCGTGAGCCACCGTGCCCGGCCCTCTTTGGCTATTTTTATATGAACATCGAGCCGTAGCGTATTCTCCCTGTACTTTTGTGGTATTTTTTTAATATTTGAAATGTTTGTCTTAGCACTCATTTTACTATTTGACAACTAACATCTGCTTTCGTAAATTTCAAAAGTGCCAATAACGGATGTCTGAATTTTCACAAATACATATTATTTCTCAACATTTTTTGTCTTAAATGGCATGTTGGTTCAGCAGATCTTTCTTACATGCCTGTAATTCAGTCACATGGTCTAAATTAACAAATGGTTTGGGCCTTTAATAGATACCTGAAGACTCATGAATTTCTTCCCAGACATGACTACCTTTCATCTTTGGCCAGATCACATGTACCAGCTTGTATTTCTACTAATACTTGCAATATTGAAGATCGACTAATGAATGAATGATTTTTTTCTTACATTTCTAATTAAGAAGTTTGTTTACATTTCTTCTTTAGCATGTTGTTCCTGACTTTATGTAACCCACTAAAATTAAAAAATATTTGAGATGAATTAAATTTATTGGAATTTCTGAAGTCATGCATTTCATATTAGACTGCATGTTGGAACAGAATTTACATGCTGATACCTGGGATTAAGAGGTGACATAATTAATATGGTCATACATCATAATGACAGGGACATGTCTTGAGAAATGAGTGCATCCTTAGTGATTCAGTCATTGTGCAAACATCATAGAGTCTACTTACATGAAGGTAGATGGTTATAAAGCCTTCAGCATACCTAGGATATTTGGTCTAGGCTATTGCTTCCAGGCTACAAATATGTATAGCATGTTACTGTACTCAATACTGTGGGCAGTTGTAACACAATGGTAAGTATTTGTTTATTCAAACGGAAAAGTTGTAGTAACAATACAGCATGTAAGAAAAAAATGTATAGGGCAATTAACATGAATGGAATTTGCAGGACTGGAAGTTGCTCCGGGTGAGTCATTGAGTGAGTGTTGAGGGAATGTAAGGCCTAGGCCATTACTGTACACTACTGTAGACTTAAAAATTTTTTTATTTCATTTACTTTTAATATTTTTTGCTTTTTTCTTAGACTCAGGATCTGTACTGTAGACTTTATAATCACTATACACTTAAGCTACACCAAATTTATAAAAATTGTTTCTTTGATAGCTAACTTTGCTGTAGCTTTAAAAATTTGTGAACTTTTAAATTTTTTAACTTGACTCCTGCAATAACACTTAAAACACATTGTACAGCTAGCTGTATAAAAATATTTTTCTTTATATCCTGTAAGTTTTTTTCTATTTGAAAAATGTTCTATTTTAATTTTATTTTTGAAAATCTTGTTAAGAACTGAGATACAAACATACACATTAGCCTAGGCCTACATGGGGTCAAGATCATCAATGTTACTGTCTTCCACCTCCACATCTGGTCCCATTGGAAGGTTTTTAGAGGAAATAACGTGTGGAGCTGTCATCTCTTGTGGTAACAGTGCCGCCTTCTGGAATACCTTCTGAAGGACCTTCTGAGGCTGTTTCCTAGTTATCCTTTTATCCTTAAGAAGGAGTATACTCTAAAATAACAATAAAAAGTATATGATAGTAGGCAGCCTGGTGGCCCACACCTGTAAACCCAGCACTTTAGGAGGCCAAGGTGAGTGGATCACCTGAGGTCAGGAGTTCGAGACCAGCCTGGCCAACATGGCGAAACCCCTTCTCTACTAAAAATGCAAAACAATTAGTTGGGCATGGTGGTGCGCACTTGTAATCCCAGCTACTCAGGAGGCTGAGGCAGGAGAATTGCTTGAACCCAGGAGGCAGAGGTTGTGGTGAGCTGAGATCACGCCACTGCACTACAGCAACGAAGTGAGATTCCATCTCAAAAAAAAAAAGTATACTATAGTAAATACATACATCAGTAACATTTATTTTCATTATCAAGTATTATATACTGTACTTAAATGTGTGTGCTATACTATTTTTTATATGACTAGAAGTGAAGGTTTGTTTATACCACCATCACTACAAACAAAAAGTAATGCATTATACTTGGACATCATGATGACTATGTCACTAAGTGATAGGAATTTTTTTTTGTAACTGGTAAAAAATTGATAGGAATTTTTCAACTCTGATACCTGATAGACAATGATATTATCTATCATTGACTGAAATGTTGTTTGTGCCATATGACTCTATACTTTTTTTTGGAAATGATTCTTAAATAAGGAAAAATTCTTGTATCTGCTCATTGTTCTCTCATCTTGTGTTCCTATACAATGCCTGCATCAGGGAAGAGCTGTTTGATAGTTACGCTTAAGTAAATAAATTTGTTTAATCAAAGTTTTAGCTTGATCTAAGGTGAAACACCTCAACTTAGAGGAAAAAATACAGTTTAAAGAGAGCAAACAGTAAAACCAGAATTTATTAAATCATTTGGTTAAGCATTTGCCTTGGGGTTGGAGGGCAGTTATAAATATAAAAGCAAACTATTTGTAAGTTTTGCTCTTTCTTTTCTGTAGTGACATTGTTGAGTATAAATGTGTAGATTAAATCTCCATTCTTCCCCTCTGAGGACTAAAGCCCTTCATTGTTGTTGGGTATAATAACAAATGCATTTCTCTCACTTAAACATTGAGGATACTTCATTTGTATTGTAGATATGCATGTCTGGTTTTTAACTTAGAAAGACTGCCTGTTTACTTGGGCATTTGTATTATGGGTCCACAGTTGGTATACAGTCTACTATTTCTATATTATATATATGTTTACATAAAGGCATTCATGTCAAAATCAGATAGTGTTGTGTTCTTTTAAAGGAAAAAAAGGAAGGAAATGTTTTGTAATAATAAGTGATATTAGATCCAGAATATAATTGTTGGATTTTTGGTTGAAAAATAGCTATACTTATTTTAGTTCATCATATATCTCTGTAATTGAAACATATTTGCCATAAGTTTACCTTTCTCAGACTTGTTTCTGTTTTATGAACGTTCTTCAGGCAAAATGCATGCATTCTGTAACTTGAAAGAGATGGAATGCCATAGAAGGAAAAAGCAAATTTTACAATTAAACTAGTTAATACAGAGATTGCCTGTATAACATATTTCATTACTTCTAAGAAGCACTTATTTTTCTTCTTCTCTGAAATTTGGAGTGTGTCTTATGTTAAATGGTGTCTTACAATTGACAGCGGTTTTTCATTCCTTTTGGGACATCAAATGATGCAGCTTACAATTGATAATGTAGAGTCTGTGAAATACTTGTATATGTGTGGGGAATAAGTTTTTGTTAAATGAGTTACCCAGCGTGTATATTTGTGAGAACTATAGACCAAATATTTTTTCCCTTGTGTTTTTACATTTTGGAAAATAGTTTTTTTACATAGGAGATTTTGTACAACCTGATATTAAGCTTTTAGTATTGCAACAGATTTTCATGTTTTATTAGATTAAAAAATAATACGATTCAAAACAATTTTCAATTTTTTTAAGCTTAATAATACTGACCTTATGCTTACTATTATTTCTACTTATACCACACATTTGGCAGTGTAAAAAATATCTTTTCTGAAAGTTTTTAAATAATAAATTTCTTTTAAAGGTTGGGTAGCTATTGTCCTGAATTTCATGTCTGATACCATGTTTTTGTTTCATTTTTAGAGTCTTACATTTAAAGAAAAAGTAACAAGCCTTAAATTTAAAGAAAAACCTACAGACCTGGAGACAAGAAGCTATAAGTATCTTCTCTTGTCCATGGTGAAACTAATTCATGCAGATCCAAAGCTCTTGCTTTGTGTAAGTATTTTCTTATGAAGTGTCCCAAAATTATCACACTAGATTTGGTTTAACTGAAATGCCAAGACCTTGAGGATAATTTTTAGCTCAAGATGACTTACTGATCCTTTTTTATCATACCTGAAAACCTTACATCTCTAAGAAACTAATGTATAATGAATACTAACATAATTATATCAGATTCTTAATTGCCCTTATGTTTTCTTAACATTTCTCTTTTTTCTTAATTTTTCCATCATTAAACTAACATACTTTGGTGAGATCTCTGTTATCATCCTATTACTAGGTTATGTATTATTCAGGTATAATCCTGGTATGGGAGATAGAAGCGACTATCGATCACAGTGCTGCCTACATCTACACCATTGGTTTAAAACATCTCCAGTTGCTATTTTCAATTTAGTTTTTCTTTCCCCCTTTTTTTCTGTTATCATTGGCTCTCCCTACAAATACTGTATTGGAAAGAGAATGAGGTGAAAATGGGTGTGGTTAGTACTCAAATTATTATTATTTTGAGACAGTCTCACTCTGCTTCCCAGGCTGCAGTGCAGTGGTGCAGTGATGGCTCATTGCAACCTCAAACTCCTGGCCTCAAGCGATCCTCCAACCTTGGCTTCCCCAAGTGCTGGGATTATAGTCATGAGCCATTGTGCTTGGCTAGTACTCAGTTATTGTCATAACTACTCTTATTGTCTCAGATAGTATTCGATTCCTGAGAACAACACTCTGCTAAACAGAGTAATTATACAGTCATAGTGAAGTGATTAACAGCATGGATGCTGGAGGCAGACTACTTACTAGTTATGTGATTTGGGTGACTAACCTTTCTGTGCCTTAGCTTTCTCATCTGAAGTATTGGGATAATAATCGTTCCTATCTCAGAGAGATTGTAAAGAAGACTGAAATAGTACATACAGTGCTTTTAGGAACAATGCCTGGTGCATAATGACTAAATAAATGTTAGCTATTACTGCTATTAATAAGATACAATTTAACATTAATATTAATGCCCAAATGTAATAGTTCTATGTTGTGACTTTCATAGGATGACATGTTTAACCTTTGTTGAATTTCATCAGTCCCTGGAGAGCAACATCAAATAATCTTTCTTATTGCTTTGTTCAGTAACAGGCTTTTAAAAAAATATTAAAGTGCTTTCAATTTTGATGGCATATTTTTCAAATTACTGTAATATAGGGAATTTATAACTACATGCCTATGGTTCCAAGAGTTCTATGAAACCTCTCAAATTTTTAAAAATCCGTATTTACGAGTAATTTTCCTTGGAGAGTGAAGAGGAAAGAAGAAAGAGGGAAAAAACATTCCCAAAGGATCAGTCACCCCTAAAGAAGGCCTGTGATAGTTTGAACCCTGAAAAATCCATTCAAATTTGAGAGTCTAGTTAGAATAAATAGACCTTTGGCGTGAAAAATTCCATAAAATCTGTCAGTGAAACTCAATAAAAACAATGAAATTCCCTTTCTCCTCATTCCTTTGTTATGTGTCACAAGCTATTCGTGGCATTATTTCATCATGAAGGTCACATAACATTAGCAGCACTCTGTTTACATGGCCATAATTCACATTCAAAGAAGGCACCAAACTCACCAATGCCTTTTCTACTAAATGTTTTCGAAGAAAAATTTAAGCAAAAGTTGCTGTTTTCCAAGGATCATTTAAAATGGAAATTGTTTGCTTTGCTGCCATCTAGTGGTTAATAAATTTTCTCAAAGTAACCATAAGTACATTAAAATAGATGATTCATTGTAAATATTTGACCATTTTGTCTTTTACATAAAAATTCTGAGTCTTAGTAATTTTGGAAGAATGTAGGAATAATTGTTAAATGGTCTCAATCATGATATTTTTAAAAGTAATATGATTTTGTCTTTCATCTCGACTTCTCAAGCCTCCTAATTACTCAGCTTACATCGTTTCTTAGATCCTCCAGATCATTTCTCCACACTGAAGTTACGGCAATCTCTTTAGAAAACAAATCTTACTATGTCCTTGCTCAGCTTGAAATCTTTTAGTTGAAATTGTTCTTGCTTATAAAGACCAAACTCCAAATAGATCTGCAGGGTCATATAAAATCTTTCTCCCACCTACCATTTCTTCCACATGCAGCATTACATTTTTTGTCCTCTCTACTCTATTCATGATAGTCTTCCTTTCAATTTTTCCAACCACATACCTTCATTCCTCCTTTGTACTTGCTTTTCCCTCTGCCTAGAATCTGCTTACTCTTCACAGTGTAATTCCTACTAATTCTAAGCTATTATCACTGAACTAAGGAAGCTTCCCTGACTAGGTACTTTTCCATGTTATAGGCTATTATGTACCTTTATAGCTCTTACGTGATTTGCATTTTTATACTTGTTGGTCTGATTATTTTATTGATGATATCTTCCCCCATGAGACTTCGTGCTCCTGGAGGATGGGAAACACATCTTTACTTTTTCATTGTTCTGTATTTGGTATTCAATACAAATTATTGGGTTATGAATGAATTTATATAAATGTTAGAAAATAGGCTAACAGTTTTGAATTACAGATTTTGGAGTGAGGGCTTACCTTAGTCATGAGAGTGGGGAACTCTCAGCTCTCTGCAACCTCCACCTCCTGGGTTCAAGTGATTCTTCTGCCTCAGCCTCCCAAGTAGCTGAGATTACAGGCACCTACCACCACACCTGGCTAACTTTTGTACTTTTAGTAGAGACGGGGTTTCTCCACGTTGGCCAGGCAGGTCTCAAACTCCTGACCTCAAGCAATCTGCCTGCCTTGGCCTCCCAAAGTGCTGGGATTACAGGTATGAGCCACTGTGCCTGGTTGAACCACATATCCTTGAAGTGCAAATATATGCTTCCAAGTTATGAGAAACATTTTAGTCTTTTTAAGTAGGTAGGCATTGGCCAGGTGCGGTGACTCAGGCCCGTAATCTCAACACTTTGGAAGCCAAGGTGGGCGGATCACCTGAGGTCAGGAGCTAGAGACCAGCCTGGCCAACATGGTGAAACCCTGTCTCTACTAATAATGCAAGAATTAGCTGGGCATGGTGGCACGTGCCTGTAATCCCAGCTATTCGGGAGGCTGAGGCAGGAGAATCGCTTGAACTAAGGAGGCAGAGGTTGCAGTGAGCCGAGATTATGCCATTGCAGTCCAGCATAGGTATCAAGAGTGAAACTCCGTCTCAAAAAAAAAAAAAAAAGTAGGCGTATACGATGTTAATTTTCTTTGCTTAGTATACTACATTTTTCCACAGTGAAAAGTATGGGTATCTGGTGATGTCAATTCTAGCCTTTGATTTGTCACCAGCTGTGTGGATTTGGGCAGGACCTTTGTATGGGACAAGCAGGCTGTACAGGATAATCACAAGGTCCTTATCCAACATGTATGTCCTTTGCCTTTGATCACAATCATGTATAAGCTCAAAACCAGTAAATTCCAAACCAGAGATAACGTTCTTTAGCCAGTTTACAGTTGTTGGGGGGAAAAAAATTACTACTCATATTATTGATGTCATTTTTAGTGGCAATTAATGGTTTTCTTTCATTAGGATTTTCCCTGGACATCATTCACATTAATGACGTGGATTAAAAGAATCCCTAATAAAAGAAATTTTGATTTAACAAAATTTTATTTTATTGAGATAAAAATACCATACCCACATACCATAAAATTCACTATTTTAAAGTTTACAATTCAATTGTTTTCAGTATATTTACAAGTTTCTGCAACCATTACCACTGTTTAATTCTAGAACATTTTTTTACCTTTTTTTTTTTTTTGAGATAGAGTCTTGCTGTCCCCTAGGCTGGAGTGCAGTGACACAATCTCGGCTCACTGCAACTTCCACCTCCCAGGTTCAAGTGATTCTTCTGCCTCAGCCTCCCAAGTACTGGAACTACAGGTGCACGCCACCACGCCCAGCTAGTTTTTATATTTTTAGCGAAGATATGGTTTCACCATATTGGTCAGGCTGGTCTCAAACTCCTGAACTCAGGTGAACCAGCCACTTTGGTTTCCAAAGTGTTGAGATTACGGCCACTTAGGTGGCCTCCCAAAGTGCTGGGCTTACAGGTGTGAACCATTGCACCTGGCCTAGTTCTAGAACATTGTTATCACCCCTTAAAGAAGCCTAGTACCCTTTAGCAGTTGCTGTCTATTCCTTCTTCCCTCTAATCTCTCTTGATTTATTTATTTATCTTTTAATGGAAGTTTCCTTTTTTTCCTTGCAGAATCCAAGAAAACAAGGACCTGAAACCCAAGGCAGTACAGCAGAATTAATTACAGGGCTTGTCCAACTAGTCCCTCAGTCGCACATGCCAGAGATCGCTCAGGAAGCAATGGAGGTAAGGGGAAAATGAATTCCAGGTTCTTGAAGGAAAGGTTGTAACTGTACATTCGTGATGTTTGCTTGATGTGTGGTTTCTATGAGTAATAGGTAGATGTCATTTCTGGGAATAGTATGTTTATGTCTATACATTGTTTTATAAAATTCCATGGAGAAAGAAGGGGTTTACTTTCTTTATATCACATAGTAACAACATTGTACAAATTCTTATGCTTAATAAAATAGTTCAAGATTTTCTCATTGCAGTTGACTTTAAAATTTTTTTAAGTATTTTTATTAAGTATTAAAAATATTGATTTTTAAATTGAGACATAATTCACATAGGCTCAATTCGACCATTTTAAGTGGTTCTTAGTGTATTCACACAGTTGTGCAACTATCACTACTCTCTAATTCCATAACATTTTTATCACCTTAGAAAGAAACTTCACTCCCCATTCCCTCATCCTTACCAACTACTAATCTATTTTCTGTTTCTATGGATTCTCTTGTTTTAGATGTTTCATATAACTAGAATCATAGAATATGTGCCTTTTATGTCTGACTACCTTGACTTAATGTTTTCAAGGTTCATTCATGTTGTGATATGAATCAGAATTTCTTTCCTTTTTGTTGCCAAATATTTCATTTTATGGATCTCAGTTTTGTTTAGTTATCAGTTGGTGGACGCTTGGGGTTGTTTCCACTTTTGGGCCATTATGAATAATGCTGCTATAAATATTTGTGTAAAAATCTATATGGACATATCTCTTAAGTATATAGGAGTGGAAGTGCTAAGTCATATGGTAACTCTGTTGAACATTTGAGGAACTGTCAACTCTTTTCCAAAGCAGCTGTATCATTTATATTCCCAATAATAATGTATGAAGGTTTAATATTTCTGCATTCTTGCTAACACTTGTTATAATGTGTCTTTTTTATTATAGCCATCCTAATGTACTTACTGTAAAAATGTTTAGACATACTAAAGTAAAAACATTTATAAAAAATGCTTTAGCACTTATTATGTAATCATTGCTTTCATTTTTGTACATTGCTATTGGTCCCGTATATTGACACATTTCTTGCAGTCTTTTTGGAAGGTTATCTAGCAGGAGCTATACAAACATTTCCTTTTTTTGTATGAATAATTCAATTTCTATGACTTTAAAAATCTTAGGAATATAACTCAAGGAAAAAACTGCACACATAGGTACTTATTGCACTTAATTATAATAGGAGAATATTAAGAGAACTTTACTAGGAGGAGAATGGGTTAATAATCAGTAATGAGAATGATATTTTAACTTCGAGCTGTTTATTCAATTATTTAATGAATGTTTATTCATTAAAACCTGTATAGATCACACAGCAATATAAGAAAAATATGAAATGTCAAGTGAGTATACTGTGTTTATGGCTTTGTTAAAACATGGAAAATACCAAAAAAAAAGAAAGAAACAAGAAAATCAAAGCAGGGAAAAGACTAACATGTTTTCTTTCAATATATATTTGTAAAGTTTTATCAAATAAAAATATAGAGAATTTGTCACTTGAAAAAACTAGTGCCAGTAAATTGTACGAAGTTTCTGCACAATAGCAGCAAAACTGAATTTTAATTTGTGTTGTTTTTCCTTGGTATGAGAGCTATAGATTATATAGCTTTTTAAGAGTCTCACAATTAATTTCAATTTTCATTAAATTTCTCAAAGTAATTACAATAAAAATGTTTGAAATAAGATAATATGAGTCTGGCTTTTATATGTTGATACCTTGACCAAGGACTGAAAGAAATGTGCAGAGCTTAGCAGTGTTCACTGGGTTGGGTGTGTTGGGATGGTGGGAGTTATGTTTGTTGGGATTGTAGAATTGGAGTTAAGATAGGATCAGTTTGAAGAAAGAGTCTACATTTTATTCTTTATATCTTTGGTGGTTTTAATTTATGTAATAGTCTAATTTATGTAATAATCTATTTATTGTAATATGTAACATATGTTAAATATTGTAAGTGAATTATATAATATATATAACATATTATATATAATATAATAAAGGTGACATATTACAATATGTATTAAATAATTCACTTATATATAACCATATAAAGGTCAGACTCCGTATCTTATTTCAAACATTTTTATTGTAATTACTTTGAGATATTTAACGAAAATTGCAGTTAATTGTGAGAATCTTAAGAAGCATGTAATCTATAGCTCTCATACCAAGGAAAAACAACAGAAATTAAAATTCAGTTTTGCTGCTATTGTGCAGAAACTTGGTAAAATTTACTGGCACTAGTTTTTTCAAGTAACGAATTCTCTATATTTTTGTTTGATAAAACTTTACAAATATACATTGAAAGAAAACATGTTAGTCTTTTCCCTGCTTTGATTTTCTTGTTTCTTTCTCTCTTTTGTTGGTATTTTCCATGTTTTAACAAAGCCATAAACGCAGTATACTCACTTCACATTTCATATTTTTCTTATATTGCTGTGTGATCTATATAGGTTTTAATGAATGTTTAACAGCTCGAAGTTAAAATACCATTCTCATTACTGAATATTAACCCATTCTCTTCCTAGTAAAGTTCTCCTAATTTTCTCCTATAATAATTAAGAGCAACAAGTACCTCTGTGTGCAGCTTTTTCCTTTTGAGTTACATTCATAAAAATTTTAAAGTCATAGAAATTGACTAAATTTCTCTGAGCCAAATTCCAATTTTACTTCTCTGGTCAATTGAAATACTTTAGAATGGATAATCTGCTATGAAATACAAAATCTATTTTGCTTTCTCTCTCTTGATTTTGAAAAATTGCTTTTTTCTATTACAAGAGAATTTGTGGCAAATGAGACAGTTTTGCTTATCTTTTCCTGTGTGTATTAATTTTGACAGGTCCTTCTTGGGGATCAACTTTTTGTTTTAGTTCTTTAATATCTATTGAAATTATTTTGTTTTTTTCTTAAATCAATTTTTATAGTTATATATTGTTGTGAATTCATCATTTAGCTTTATATGTACATGCCAATTAGAGTAAGAATGATGGGAATAAAATTATTTCATTCTGTCTGTATTATTCCCTAGAAGTTTGTGTTTGCCAGAGTTTATCTATTTTACCTTTTACTGTATGTTGAAACTATAAATGAAATAGCTCAACTTCTTAGCATTTGTAAAATAAGTATTCCAGTGTTATGTTTACCAAAAATGTTTGAATGAGTCTTATCTTTGTCTTTCTTTTTTTAAAAAAATTCAGGCTCTGCTGGTTCTTCATCAGTTAGATAGCATTGACTTGTGGAATCCTGATGCTCCTGTAGAAACATTTTGGGAGATTAGGTATTTGTATTTTTATTTTTTAAATTCAACTTTAAAATTTTATTTTGTATTTCTGTCTTGAATTATGAACTCTATACTGCTTAGTACATTGTAAAACTTATACTTTCAAAGGTTTATGATTTTGTATTTTATTTGACTTCAAATTATTACAATTTCTTGTTTTAACTGTAATAAAAATATCACAGCAGTTTAGAAAATAAATTTTAAGAATATTGCTAAATTTTGTCACCCAACCCATAAGTACTGTTGTTTGGAATATTACCTCTTTCAGATTTCAATGTGGTTACTACTGTGTTTTTAATAGATTTTCACAGTTATAAGCCTAGAATGATAAAATTTTGTAAAATATTGTGTTTCAGTTTTTTAAACTGTGATTTTTCATAAACTTTCTGTAATACCAATGCTTTTGATGAAGGAATTTATAATGGACACCTGTTAGAAGACAAAAATATATATAGAATTTTGTGGTCTACTTTCTAGGTTATATAAATCATTATATTTTAATGAGCATAAAGTCACCATCCTTGAGGAAAGTGTAAATGTTTAAACCTCAAGTTTGCCATTATCTTACAGGAATGGGTGTCCTAAGTTACTTGGCAGCTCAATTAAATCTTACTCAAGAACAGTTCTCTTCAATAGTAATATAATGAGAAATCCCGTATGTTATTGAAAATTTTCTAGTTACTACATTAAAGAGTAAAAAGAAGCAGGTAAAATTAATTTTAATAATGTTTTATTTTACCCGCTATATGTTATTTATAATATAATTTCAACATGTAATCAATATAAAAGTTATTAATGACATATCTCTCTTTTTTTAATAAAGTCTTCAAACTTTGGTGTGTCTTTTATACTTTCAGCACATCTCAATTTGAACAAGCCACACTTAAAGTGCTCAATAGCCATGTGTGACTGGCTAGTGGCTACCATGTTACAGTGCAGCTCTAGAGTAGGGATCAGGAAACTTTTCTCCAAAAGACCAGATAATAAATATTTTGGGCTTTGTGAGTCATACGGTTTCTGTCATAACTATTCGGTTCCGCTTTTGGAGCATGAAAGTGGCCACAGACAATATGTGAACGAATGGGTGTAGTTGTGTTTGACTAAAACTTTATATTTACAATAGCAAGTGGTAGTCTGGATTTGGCCTGCGGATAGCAGCTTGCAGCACAAGCGCTGTGGAGCACTGTGTTTAGAGACAGACTCTGCGGTGCATGTGCTTTACTACTACTTCTTATGTCTGCTGCAAGGATGAGATACACAGATAGAAATGAAACATAGGGGGCTTATAAATAAATACTTGCTTTTTTCTATAACCTATAAACTTATTTCCTTTGATTATAGTGCTGTTGACACTTTGATAACTATTTCTCTAAAAGCCTGCAAGGGAAACTACGCTTCTCTAAACTTGTGTTCATTATGAGAGAATGCCATTCTTATGTCTGGTTATATCTGTATTAGGTTATTGATGATGCTAGTAACAATGAACTTTTTGTTACTGCAGCTCACAAATGCTTTTTTACATCTGCAAGAAATTAACTAGTCATCAAATGCTTAGTAGCACAGAAATTCTCAAGTGGTTGCGGGAAATTTTGATCTGCAGGAATAAATTTCTTCTTAAAAATAAGGTAAGCAAAATGACATGTTTAAAAAATGGAAGAATATTTGGAATGGGAATGGGGAGAGATGAAGAAAGTGTTTTATAGCCAAATTAGGTTCTATTTCAGCTCCTCCTTCTCCCCAAGATTCTCAGAAGGAAATATATATGCAGAGGACGATGGCTGGCAAATCTGCATTTAAAAAATTATTCTGAGGCTTTGGCCTTCAAACCACACTGTTGAATTCTAGTCCTAGTTGAGTTAAATAGGTCTCTATGGGGCAGGCCTAGGAAAAATGGGGGCTGCTGTAACCAAAGGAGCTTAAGGAGCATATTCTATCTTTATTCTCAAGTTCATACATAAGACATAACTCATATGTAAAATTTATTTTAACATATAGCTTCTATAATTTAAGAATTCTGTTATGGCATAGATTTAAGAGTACTTGATTTAATGAGTTTTTGTCCAGTTCTAGAATCATAGCTCTGAGAAATGGTAGAGACCTAGATCTCATGGCTAGACTTGTTCAGAGAATTATATATCAAGAAGCAAAAGGGAAAAGGCTGAGGGTCCTGAAACTAGGTTTATTTCTATTCCTCCAATAAAAGTTTCACCTCTTGAAAATATCAGGAGACTTCTTCATTGGAATAGAGTGAAATTTTTTGAGTCTGAACTGTTGAAACATGGTGAGGTTATGGAGGATAAGGAAGAGGCTTAAATTTCTTTTAAAATATAGTTTCTATAATCAAATCAATTTAGGAATTCTATTATGATCTAGTTTTAGGAGTACTTGATTTAATGAGTTTTTATCTGGTACTAGAATCATAGCTGTGAAAAACCTTAAATATATGAAACGCATCTGCTTCTCAGTGTTATATAGCTTTTGATTAATAAATTGTTTAGAAATAGACTAATGGTGAAGTGGGTTTATTCACATTTGGCTCATTTGATGTGTTAATATAGTGGAATTTGATGTTGGAAAGAGATTTGATTTCAGACTTTCATGCGCTTGTCTATGGTATACTCTCCAGAATACAAGTATGAGGAATCCAGTAATGAACTCCTAGTGTCCTGGTCAGCACAGTCACTCTTGTGACATACTTGGTGTATATCCCAGGGTTAATTACTGGTCCAGAGAACTTAATCTGAAGAGTCAATTTCTAGTTATCCCAACATGGCACAGGATAAAATCTTATGGAAAAAAATCTTTGTCATTGAGATCGAATTATAGTTTTTATACAATAGATTTATTTCGTTGATGTTTTACTTGTGTTTATGTTGACTTAATTTATATTTATAGAATCTACTGTTTCAGATGATTTAGAGAATGGGAAACTGAGGGAAATTTTAAAGACATTTAAGTAAACATTACTTGTCCTAATGGGTTTTTTGTTAATCTCCTTCAAGGTAGGGCATAGAGATTGAGAGGAGGGGTTTTCTAGGAGAGTCTCAAACAGGAAGACAACTCAAATAAGTGTTTATTGCTCTTGGTTGTCAGTGCTTCCATAAAGCTTATCTATTTCTTTTTTCTAGCAGGCAGATAGAAGTTCCTGTCACTTTCTGCTTTTTTATGGGGTAGGATGTGATATCCCTTCTAGTGGAAATACCAGTCAAATGTCCATGGATCATGAAGAGTTACTCCGTACTCCTGGGGCCTCTCTCCGGAAAGGAAAAGGGAACTCCTCTATGGTCAGCTTCTTTTGTAATTTTCCTGTATCATCATGTGTGCTCTATTTGTTTTTTGAATGAACTTTGGTAAATGTCATCTAGGTAACATAGTGTAATACTGAAAAACTGTGTAGACTAGTTCTATCACTGCTCTTTGTGGAACTTTGGACAAGTCCTTAACATCCTTGTTCATCATTTCCTCAACTTTAGAATGGGGACAATAATAATTCCTGCCCCAGAGTTGTTGTGAGGGTTAAATAAAAGGATGTGTAAATAGCACTTGACACTTACAAGCTATTTCTGATCAACGTAATTAGTATAAACCTCCCCCCCACAAAAAAGAAGCCATTCATACCACAGAAGTATAGAAGTTGTACCAGCTAACAAAGGTATAGATTTACAGGGATAAAAACAAAGTATTTTGCTTCATGTTAAAAATAAGTGTTTCTGTGATTTGTGTTTGTGTGTATAATTTCGTTTAAGTACAAATAATATTTCAAGTAAAAATATCAAATCACTGCAGAAGAGTTTATTTTCCAAACCAAAACATTTTCATCCATAATTTTTAATATAATTTTCTGTTAAGGGAAAAAAACCATGTAAGCAGTATGGTATTTACTATAGTCTGCTTTACTTGTAGAATTTGCATTTCTTTGTCAATTATTTTCTCCATTTCATGTTTGGGGAATAGTAATTCAGAATCAGGTATATCTTCTACAGCAATATTTAGTTCTTGTTTATGCTCTTGTTTCAGTGAGTACTGCAGTGTACTTATTTTATTACTTCCCTATAGCAAATAGATAGAATTTCCTGTTACTTCCTTTTTTTCTGTCATTTCTAATTCACTGGGAAGTACATTATATTATTACTGCAGTAGTTTTATGTTATGGTGTTTTTACCTGTCCATGTTAGAATCAGTTTACATTTCTGGAATCTGGAATAGGATAATACCTATTTGATTTGACTTGGACAGATAGTAGCATTATGTTGGTCCAGATAATCTCATTTCTCATTTGAACAAGATGTGTTGGGGTTTGAAAAATTTCTATAATGATTAAAGGAAAAAGCTCTTGTGAGTTACCTTATGCTGAGTTATTTATACACACACATGCAGTTTATTGCATTGCTGGGTTTTATACATAAAATTACCCAAGTTACAAATATACGTCTTTCACCCTTGACTCTCAGGATAGTACAGCAGGATGCAGTGGAACCCCACCAATTTGTCGACAAGCCCAGACCAAACTGGAAGTGGCCTTGTACATGTTTCTTTGGAACCCTGACACTGAAGCTGTTCTGGTTGCCATGTCTTGTTTTCGCCATCTCTGCGAGGAAGCAGATATCCGGTGTGGTGTGGATGAAGTGTCAGTGCATAACCTCTTGCCCAACTATAACACATTCATGGAGTTTTCCTCTGTCAGCAATATGATGTCAACAGGTAAATGTGAATAGTGGTTTTTTTACTTAGTCTGCCTCAAAGCCCCGGCATCTGATTGTGAGAATGTATTTAAGGTTACTGCTTTGTAAGTTTCAGGGGAAATTCAAGTAGCTTACTTGAAATCCTTTTCTGAACAAAGCAAGATGAAAATAACATTTGAAATAAATTGTTAGTCTCTCACTGAATTTTTAATATGCTGTACATTTTTAAAATAACTGGCAGTATATGTTACCATCAATTATGATTATGTAATTTACTCTGCCTACGTTGTAGATAGTGAAGTTTTACACACATTGGCATATGTTTTGAGTAAATTATAGGTGGGAACAGCTATTTTATGCTATTCCAAGATAAAAGTCCAAGATAAGTACCTTTCCTGTGAGGTTAGTGAAAGGAAGTTTTTGGCTTTATCATTTGAAGCATTTGTCCTGCTCCCTCTACTCTGCCTTTTGAGTGGGACTTATCAGGTTCTCCATCATCAGGCAGGGCTCTAAGTGCAATAACTTGATTTGCTCTTGTATTTGCTTAGGAAGAGCAGCACTTCAGAAAAGAGTAATGGCACTACTGAGGCGCATTGAGCATCCCACTGCAGGAAACACTGAGGTATGCCCTTCACAACAGAAACACCCCTTCCAGGCCCCCCACCCTCAATTTTGGAAGCCTCTTGTTACATATGTGTGATCAGGAATAGCTTTTGAAGTAAATCCAAGATATGTGCATATTACAAGTATAACGTCTGAGTACTTAATATACATCAAGTTTGAAACTTGGCTGTTTCTGACTGGTGTTTAATTTTAGACTTAAAGTTGCTTTTAAGTGATAATTGCCTTCATTTTAGGCTTGGGAAGATACACATGCAAAATGGGAACAAGCAACAAAACTAATACTTAACTATCCAAAAGCCAAAATGGAAGATGGCCAGGTAAGTGTGTAAAGTTGACTGTTGTTTGTTACCTGAACTGCTAAATATATGTACTTCACTTTGGTAATCTTTTGTGTGTGTCTCAGTATAGTAAGCATATAGTTGTCTGAAGACTGATATTTAGTTGTGGTTTATCTAGACCTGTACTTTGTAACACGGTAGCCACTAGCTACATGTGACTATTTGACTTAAATTTTAACATAATTAAGTAAAATTAAAATTTAGTTTCTCAGTCATATACTAGCCACATTCCAAGTACTCAGTAGCCACATATGACACTTACTCTATTGGACAGCAGAGAGAGAAAATGTTTCTATCATCACAGAAATACTGGGCAGCACTGCCAGAGACTATTTGTTGCAGAGACCATTTCTTTACCCTTTATTGCTCTTTTCCCCTTCATCAGGGTGCTTCACAAAATTTTCAGAAAAGGAGCAGCAGAGGTAGAGAAAAATTAACATGGAAACAATTCATTTTGCTATTTTGTTAGGTGTTCTAATTAAGGAATGTCTTGGGCAGAAGATTGAACCCACAGATTAAATGAAATTTTAAAATGTGGACAGTTCATTCAACTATTACTATTGATGGTTTTATCTATTACTTTGGAAATTAACGATCAGTTGGTATTTGCGTGTATTTCATTTGTAATATTCATATTACTCTCATTTTTAGGTGATTTGTAAAAACTGGTTATTCCTCTGTTGTTTTTTTCTGTCATGCTTAATTACAATAAGAAAAGAGTTATATTTTTATAAAGCAAAATTGTGTACCTAATACCTTTATTTGGAAGGGACATGTAGCTTTAGAATGAAAGCTTTTGGGGGTATAACTGTTTAATATATAATTACATACCATACAATTCACCCGTTTAAAGTGTCCATTTCAGTGACTGTTTTTTGAATATTCAGAGTTGTGCAACCATTACCACAGTCAGTTTTAAAACAATTTCATTAATTTAGGAAAAAACCCTGTACCCTTTAGCTATCTCTGCCTCTAGCCCCCTCCCTCACTTTCTTGCCTCTCTTCCCTCCACTTCTCCAGTCCTAGGCAACCACAAATCTACTTTCTGTCTCTGTAGATTTGCCTATTCTGGATATTTTCTATAAATGGAATTGTAGAATATGTGGGCTTTTGTGGTTAGCTTCTTTCACTTAGCATTCACTTAGAACCTTTCCAAGGTTCACCCATGTGAAATCAAAGCTTTTTTTTTTTTTTTGAGATTGAATCTTGCTCTGTAGCCCAGGCTAGAGTGCAGTGGCGCAATCTCGGCTCACTGCAACCTCCACCTCCCTGGTCCTGGTTCAAGCAATTCTCCTACCTCAGCCTCCCAAGTTGCTGGGATTACAGGCATGAGCCACCATGCCAAGCTAATTTTTGTACTTTTTAGTAGAGACAGGGTTTCGCCATGTTGGCCAGTCTGGTCTTAAACTCTTGACCTTGTGATCTGCCTGCCTTGGCCTCCCAAAGTGCTGGGATTACAGATGTGGACCACTGCACCCAGCCGAAATCAAAGCTTTTTAAAACAAATTTGATACTCGGGTGATTATATTAGTGTAGCTATGACAAAAATAAATCAGTGGCTCTTTAAAAATTTATATGGTAATTTGGGGATTTAACTTTTTTTACACTTTTTGTACTTTTGTCATGGAAGAAATGTTGGATAAAGAGTAATTTGTCAAGTCTCAACTAATTTAGGTTTAATTCATGCTTTGCACAAAAATTTTGTGTTTAGGCTGCTGAAAGCCTTCACAAGACCATTGTTAAGAGGCGAATGTCCCATGTGAGTGGAGGAGGATCCATAGATTTGTCTGACACAGACTCCCTACAGGAATGGATCAACATGACTGGCTTCCTTTGTGCCCTTGGGGGAGTGTGCCTCCAGCAGAGAAGCAATTCTGGCCTGGCAACCTATAGCCCACCCATGGGCCCAGTCAGTGAACGTAAGGGTTCCATGATTTCAGTGATGTCCTCAGAGGGAAACACAGATACACCTGTCAGCAAATTTATGGATCGGCTGTTGTCCTTGATGGTGTGTAACCATGAGAAAGTGGGTCTTCAGATACGGACCAATGTTAAGGATCTGGTGGGCCTAGAATTGAGTCCTGCTCTTTATCCAATGCTATTTAACAAATTGAAGAATACCATCAGCAAGTTTTTTGACGCCCAAGGACAGGTAAAGTGTTCTCTTCTTTTTGTTTCACCTTTCCCTATGAATAGGTTGACTTGTTTGAAATAATGAAGCCTTTTTCTTTCAGAATCTTTTAAATTAGGTACTCATAGTTTTAAAAAATTGCCAAAAAATTGCAGAAAGAAGAGTCATCTCAGTGTAGGGGCCAGCTTGCTTCTTAGGAACTCTGGTGTGTAAGGGTGCCTGAGGGTATAAATGCCTTGTGTATGCATATGAGTGTCTGTGTTTATCTGTATGCTTCTTTGGTTGTGTGCCTGTGTACCTGTTTGTGTGTTTAGGTCAGTCAATTTCATCTCTCTAGGGGGTATGTCTTCTGTGCATTGATGGCAAATCATTAATGTATTTGTTCTTTCTCTAGGTTTTATTGACTGATACCAATACTCAATTTGTAGAGCAAACCATAGCTATAATGAAGAACTTGCTAGATAATCATACTGAAGGCAGCTCTGAACATCTAGGGCAAGCTAGCATTGAAACAATGATGTTAAATCTGGTCAGGTAAGCGTTCTGCTGAAATGTAGCAGAAACATTTTAAGAGAGAAGCAAAACCTCTTACACATTGATATTGGTAGTAATTGATAAACTAATTTGCCATTCTTTTACTGCACACAAACTAGGGTGTGACAATAAGGTAACCAGAAGTTGTGTATGTTCATAAATATCTTAACAAAGATATTTGTGAGATAAATATCTTATTGTTTTCAAACTTACATTTAATTCATTTAACTTGACAACCAAAGTATTTTGAATGTCTTCTCTTTTGCATATATCTGATCTTTTTTTTATTGTTTCTATGTCTTTATAGATATGTTCGTGTGCTTGGGAATATGGTCCATGCAATTCAAATAAAAACGAAACTGTGTCAGTTAGTTGAAGTAATGATGGCAAGGAGAGATGACCTCTCATTTTGCCAAGAGATGAAATTTAGGTGAGTTCTCAAAAGAGCAAGGTAGAGTCTTGTAAATCTTAATATGTTAAATGAAGTACAGAAAAAGAGTAAGTATCTGGTTATTGGTAGAAAGGAAGACAAAAAAAGGAGCAATTTACATGTTTGTTTTTCTCTATATCTCTCCTCAAATTTCCCTAAGCTTTGTGTCTGTGACAGTGTTCCCTTTTTCTAAAACTGTGCTATACTTGAGCTAAGATTTGATTCTGTTTCCCATCTGATACCATAACTAAGGGCCATTATGGAGGCTAAATATCCACATTGCTTGTTCCCTTTTGATTTTTGTGTCTGTGATAGCAGTATCTCTTTTATAAAGTCATCATGTCACCTAGGTTATCTGGCAAATTATTTACACTATAAGAAATCTTACATGACTAGACGTGTGTGTGCATGTGTGTGGCTTCAAAAAAATTGTTTGCTGTTTGTCTTTTCTCCATCATTCTATAGGAATAAGATGGTAGAATACCTGACAGATTGGGTTATGGGAACATCAAACCAAGCAGCAGATGATGATGTAAAATGTCTTACAAGGTAAATAAGAGAATGATCTATTAGTGGGTTTTATTGTGAGAATGTTACTACTTCATTACAGCTTTATACTTGTATTTTATGCATATTTAAACTTTTTAGATGTGAAACTTCTGTGTTTGAAATATATAAAGACACTAATTTTTATTACTACTTTTTTTGACTGAGACTCACTAAAAATAAATGTGAGAGAACAATATGTTTGGGAAGTTAGTGTTGTCAGTTTATGAAGAATAGTCTACAGTTATTGGGAAATAAGATACATAAAGCCTCACATTGAATTTATGTTATGATTAGATAGATAAAGATAAAGGTATTATTTGAGGAACTCATTGTGATGAATCTTGCGAAGAAATAATTGATTTTCTGATTCAAGCACTAGAGACAAAAAAAGGAAGTAATTAAGTCTGCTTTCATGATAAATACTTATTGACACATATCGGAAAGTGATAAAACACTATGGACTGTATAATAAGCATTCACATATGTTTCTTTGACCAAGCCTAGCTTTATAATACAGTCATCTCTCAATATCTGCCAGGGATTAGGTCCAGGAACCACTCCCCAAATCCCTGCCCACACCTCACTCCCATGAACATTAAAATCCACAGATGCTCAAGTGCTGATATAAAATGTCATAGTATTTGCATATAAACTATGCACATCCTCCCATATACTTTAAATTATCTTTAGATTACTTATAATACCTAATACAGTATAAGTGTTATATAATATACCATATTGCTTAGGGAATAATAACAAAGAAAAAAATCTGTACATATTGAGTACCTATGTACAGATGAATTCCTACTTTCCCCCCCCCCCAATATTTTCAGTCCATGGTTTATTGAATCCATGGATATAGAACTCACTGATACAGAGGGCCAATTGTACATACTTCTGACTTAAGGTAGTCATTTTGCCAAGATTACTATGTAGAAAGTTAGTATTGCCTTCTCCCCATTTGAGATGTTTTTGTATTTTGGGGTCTGCATATTAACTCAAATTATTTGGGTTGTGCTAATAATTTGTTTAGTGAAGTAGGTAGTTCCAAAAGTTTATATCTGTTAATAGGAGGTTTATTTGAGGGGAAGTGAAAGAACCTGAAAGATTTCTGGTCTCTAATTTTTTTTTTTTTTTTCCAGAGATTTGGACCAGGCAAGCATGGAAGCAGTAGTTTCACTTCTAGCTGGTCTCCCACTGCAGCCTGAGGAAGGAGACGGTGTGGAATTAATGGAAGCCAAATCACAGTTATTTCTTAAGTAAATTTCAGTCACCAAAAACCACAAAGCAAAAAGCAAATAAATCCCCTTCACACACACAAAAACAAAGAATATTCCTCAAGACAGAAGTAGAATAGGAAAATAACTGTGTTTTTTTATTTTTAAAGAATATATGATCAGTAAAATTTTGCTTATAATAAAACCCAGATTGTTTCATTAAGTGATTTACAAAAGTGACATTGTCTAAGCTGTCTGGACCACAAATTTTATATACTAACCATCAAAAGTGACACATTTACCAGGAAACATTACATCTATTTGATGCTTATGTTATGAAAGGTATACTAGGCTATATCAGGTAAAATCATGTCCAACACAGCACACTTCATAATGAGCCTGGCTGATTATCCCGAGAGAGGAGAGAAGCAGTTAACTGAGGACCAGTCACACCATGCACATGTGATTGTTTTGGAATGTCTGGTTAGCTTTCTAGTTGTTATGGACTTTGCTATGTAAAGGTCATTCTTTTTATTTCTCAGATACTTCACATTATTTATGAACCTTTTGAATGACTGCAGTGAAGTTGAAGATGAAAATGCACAAACAGGTGGCAGGAAACGTGGCATGTCTCGGAGGCTGGCATCACTGAGGCATTGTACAGTCCTTGCAATGTCAAATTTACTCAATGCCAATGTAGACAGTGGTCTCATGCACTCCATAGGTGAGATCAAATGAAAATTTCATATAGTAATACAAAACCTAGAAAACTGGCATGTAAGATAAGCAAAAAATTACTCCAGCAAGGCCATGTTAGTAATTTGCATCTGTTTGTCCACACCAGGTTTAGGTTACCACAAGGATCTTCAGACAAGAGCTACGTTTATGGAAGTTCTGACAAAAATCCTTCAACAAGGCACAGAATTTGACACACTTGCAGAAACAGTATTAGCTGATCGGTTTGAGAGATTGGTGGAACTGGTCACAATGATGGGTGATCAAGGAGAGCTCCCTATAGCTATGGCTCTGGCCAATGTGGTTCCTTGTTCTCAGTGGGTAAGTGCATAGAGTAAGTGGGGAGGAAAAATGCCTAGTACATAGCAAATCCTTCAGAATATATTTGTTCAATAAATGTTTGTTGAATGAATTGATAAAATTTTAGAGCCAGAAAAAGTCTTAGATGTTTAGTTAGGTGACTTTTCAGCTGTAGGGAAGTGGTTGGCACTCCTAGACCTGACTAGTGAGTCTATATCATTTTATCCCACTGAAAATTCTGTTTGAACACTGATTAAGAATCACTGATCTACTCTGGTGTCTTCATATATTTAAAATAAGGTGGTTAGGTTAAACCTAATTTCAGTTGTTGCAACGCTGGAATTGGAATCCACGATTTGTGCCTGTTTACTGCCTCCAGTTTGCTGTACTTTTTCCCGTAATGTGTTATACAGCTTTTTAAAAATGTAAGCACTGTATTTTCATTCGATATTATGATATTGTTTGTTTTAAACACCAAAAACATCATATGGCTATTAGGTCTCTTAATTTAATAAAAAATTTTCCTAAAATCACATCATTCTTAATACATGCTAAAACATTGAGAAGGGTTTTTCCTTTCCAGCAAAAGTATATGTCCTTCCAGCAAAGGATGTTTGCTTTTTAGTGTACCAAAAACCATTTCAGTTATAGTAAATTATAACTAATAAGATAATCTGTCATTGTAAATTTGTTTCTTCTTAAAGCTGTGGGATCATATTTGTTATATCTGTACTTAAAATTCAAACTCCTTATTCTGTCTTACAAGTCTCTACCTGATCTGGGCCCTGCCACATCTCTATCATCATCTTAGGCCATTTTCCTTCTTGTTCACCAAAGCCATACCAGCTACCATTCTGTCCCTTCTTTGTGTTAGACTTGTTTCTGCCCTAGATAACCCTTGCTGTTGTTACCACCTGAAATGTGTCTCCTCTGGTATTTGATTTTGGTGAGAACACTTAGTATGAGATCTGTAGGTACAAAGCTGCACTGCACATCTCTAGAACTTACTTTGTATAACTGAAATTTTATACTCATTGATTAGTAACAGCTCCAAATTATTGAAATCTTCTTGAAGCCTAAAATTAGTTCACAGATGTTCAAATGTTTTGAAAATGGAAATTCTGAATTTTCTTGTTACCACCTGCCTATAATTAGCACTCAAAATACTCAGTAATTTTCTTAATAATTGTTAATTTCAAGTAGGTTTAATTCATTGAGTTTTATATTAAAAGACTTTGAGAAGGAATTTTCTATTAGGCCAGATCTCATCTATCACATTATTGTAATCCGGGGACCAGGCAAGAATTAGAGAGCTATGGGCCATGATCCTGGCCTTTGTTGTTAACTGCTTGAGGATTGAGGCATCTTTTTATGGCTACCCCCATTCTCTATACATTTCTTCTTATGTGATTAAACAGTGATTTACTATTAGATCATTTTTCTTGAGTGTACCCAAACTGCTTTAATACAGGGAGTTATAAAAGATGTATTTAGCTAATAGATAGGAATTTCAGCCCTCATCCCTATCCCCCTAGCTTTGTATGTAAATCTGGCTGATCTCTGGGTTCTGAATGCCCAATTCCTTTTCTTCCTGATTTCTCAAAAATCCTATAGTCTTTCTATTTTTGTCATATCTCTGCCTAGTCTATGCTCAGTATTCAGAGTTTCCCTGACTATACAAGAAAAGAGTAGAACTCTTCTGATCATCAGTCTTACTTCTGATCTGTGTAAATGCTTGTACAAATCAAACTAAACTCTTTGCTGTCATCTTCTATTTCTGCTCTCTTTCATTTTGTGATACAATTTGAGTTGAATCCTGGAGATTTTGTCTGCTGGTAAAGCCTAGGCCTCTCTTAATAGCTTTCACCAGTTGATCCTTGGAATTAACAGCTATTGTAGACATCGTGTATAGTCATCTATCATAAACAATGTACACAGATAAATCTCAGGAGAAATATTAATCAGTCATCATTTTAATTTAGCAAGGGGTTGTCAACTTTGGGTTTACATTTTTGCTACTCTTCAGCTTTCTCCCTGAGAACAAAAATGGGATTGTTTGCACTAACCTGATTTTGTTTTGTTCTCAGGATGAACTAGCTCGAGTTCTGGTTACTCTGTTTGATTCTCGGCATTTACTCTACCAGCTGCTCTGGAACATGTTTTCTAAAGAGGTAGAATTGGCAGACTCCATGCAGACTCTCTTCCGAGGCAACAGCTTGGCCAGTAAAATAATGACGTTCTGTTTCAAGGTTTGTATTATTCATTTCATGTGTGTGTGTGGTAAGGTATGTCAAGTAATGTACAGATTGTGCAGAGCTGACTGTCTTCTTTTAAGGTAAAGTATATGTAGCCGACATAATAAACTCCTACTCATGCATTTCTATAGGTATATGGTGCTACCTATCTACAAAAACTCCTGGATCCTTTATTACGAATTGTGATCACATCCTCTGATTGGCAACATGTTAGCTTTGAAGTGGATCCTACCAGGTTTGTCATCTTTTCACATAAAACTGCTTTTTTTTTTAACTAGCACTGCATGAAGCAAGGCCCTCATAATTTCTCCCTTTGATCATTAAAATTAGTTTTTAATTATAAAAGTTATATGCATATACACTTTAATTTAATGATATATGTACATTTTTTTAAGGTGTCCTTTTTTTTTTTGCCTTAGATCCAGGGACAGACTGGAGAAAAGTGTCTTTGACTTCCACCTCCAGAGACTGTTACTTGGCCTCCAAAAGTGCTTGGATTACAGTTTAAACTGCACTCTGGGCCAGATGTGGTGGCTTATACCTGTAATCCCAGCACTTTCGGAGGCCAAGGCAGGTGAATCACCTGAGGTCAGGAGTTCAAGACTCGCCTGGCTAATATGGTGAAACACCACACTAAAAATACAAAAAAAAAGAAAAAAAAAATAGCTGGGCATGGTGGTGCATATCTGTGAAGCTTTTTCTGCCTGTTACCAGATACCACCCGTACATACACTACCCACAAACAAAAAAATATGCTTTGTTCTGTTCTGCACACTACTATTGTAACAATTTGTTTTATGAGTTTAGCTCCCCTCTAGACTGTTGGCTCTTACACATTTTTACATCTTTATATCCTTCCATGAGTATTTAGCATGCTATCTGCCTTAGAGTGAACATTTTATAAATATTTGTTAAATGAATGAATTTTAACTATTTTATGTTTGCTTTTTCTAAGGCACATGTTAAGATGTTCTTGTCTTTCAGTTAGCACTTTATTTTTTACTTTTAAGTTCAAAATTTCTTGATGGTTGTTCTTCCTAAATAATTATTATTTGGCAACTGTACATTAGTTGACATTTATGGCTCTGCATTTGCTGAAGTATCAACTGTGATATCTATTCAAAACTCCAGCACTAAGCTAATTTTTGTTAAAATAGTTAAAAACTTAAGAGCAGTATTTTATGTTTTAATTAATTTATTATTATTATTTATTTTATTTTATTTTTTAGTCCCCACCCCTGCTCTGTTGTTATTTTTTTGAGATGGGATCTCACTCTGTCACCCAGGCTGGAGTGTGGTGGCGCCATCTCGACTCACTGCAACTTTCCTGCCCAAGACTCAAATGATCCTCCAACCTCAGCCTCCCAAGTACCTGGGATTACAGGCGTGCACCATCACGCAGGGCTAATTTTTGTATTTTGGTAGAGATGAGGTTTTGCTATGCTGTCCAGGCCGGTCAAACTCCTGGACCCAAGAGATCCACCCACCGTGGTCTCCCAAAGTGCTGGGATTAGATGTAAGTCACTGTGCGTGGCCAAAGCAGTATTTTTTAAAGCCTCGTATTTTCTTGCCATTAAGCACTTTTGGTTTTTTTTCTTGACAACTTCTCATGTCTCCGTTTTTTTTTTTTTTTTTTTTAACAATTATCAAGTATATATAATACATTATTACTGATTATTATGTTAATTTTGTGCCCTACAACTTTATTGAATCTTATTAAGCAATTTTACTTTCTAAAGATTAAAGAATTACTTAGTGAGAGAGTGAACTAACTGCCTCAAAGAAATCTGCTATACAAAGTGCTGTGGTCCAGCTAAGAGAACTAGATGGCAGACAATACTCAGGTTGCTTAAAATCAGACTGAGGCCATCTGACATGCAAAGAGCTTGAAAGTCAACACTCCCATGTTCACAACATGAAAAAAAGCTGAAAAACTGAAAATCAGTAGCTCTTAGATCCATCAGAGAATTTAGGTCCACTCCAAAAACTGAACAGACAGGTAAATACAGAGAATCACAGCTTAACAGGAGAAGCAGCTTCTGGAGCGGGTTACTGGTAGTAAAGCTTAGATCTTAATTGATGAATTGCTGAAGGCTGAGCATTTCACACTCCTGGGGGCCTAGTCTTACAAAAACTCCTGCACCTTTGTGAGTTTTACTTCCAGAAGCCTCACCAGGCTCTCATGGTGAAGATAGAAGAAAAATCCTTATGCTTTGCAGGGAAGGGAAAAAGTATCCATTTAAAAATATACCCACCGTGTTCTGTTATCCCTAACAAAGGTCTGCCTTCAGGAGAAATTACTTTACCAGAGCTTTATTTGACTTAGAATTCTATTAGCCACCTCCAGCCCCCTCTAGCATTTCTGTAAGAAGAGGAGAAAAAAGGCTAAGAAACTCTTTGCAGGTCACACTTTAAGGAATTTGGCTCAATAAAACAATGGAGATATAATCAGATTATAGAGTACTTCCCTTCCCCAATATCCCTATTAATGGGGAAACTCAGAGACAATAAAACAGACAAAAATAAGGGCACTGGAGGAAATGGACAGCTACAGCTATAGTAGACATTAAACATAACCCAACTTCTAGGCATTAACAGAATGCCTCATACTAAAGGCCTATTTACCTCAGCTCCTATTACCCAATGCATCTTGTCTGGCTTTCAACAAAAAATTACAATGCATGCTAACCAAGATGAAAAATCAGTCTGAGAAAACAAAGCAAGCCTCAGACTCAGACTCAGATGTGGCAAGATGTATTGGAATTTTGGAATTGTCAAACTGAGGATTTAAAATAACTGACTAATATGCTAAGGGCTTTAATGGAAAATGGACAGTGTGTAAGAACAGATGGGTAATGTAAGCAGAGACATGGAAACTAAGAAAGAATCAAGAGAATGCTAGAGGAAAAAGCTATAACAGGGAGAATTCCTTTGATGGGCTTATCAGTAGTGTGCACACCGCTGAGGAAAGCATCAGTGAATTTGAAGTTAAATCAAGAGAAACTTTCAAACCGAAATGCAAAGACAAACGAAAATTAAATGAAAATGAAAATACACCTTGTCAAAATTTGTGGGCTGTAATAAAAGCAGTTGCTTAAGGGAAACTTAACAGTGTTAAATGTGTATGTTAGAAAAGAAAATCTAAAATGAATGATCTGAGCTGTCACCTTAGAAAACTTCAGAAAGAAGAGCAATACCTAAAGCAATAAGGGGGAAAAATCAGAAATCAATGAAATTAAAAATAGGAAAACAATAGGAAAAAAGTAATGAAACCCAAAGCTGGACCTTTTTATTTTTTAAGTTTTACTTTTTTGTGAGTACATAGTATATATATTTATGGGATACATGAAATATTTTTATACATACAGTATGTAACAGTCACTTCAGGGTAAATGGGGTATGTCTATCACCTCAAGCATTTATCCTTTCTTTTTTTTTTGAGACGAAGTTTCGCTCTTGTCTCCTAGGCTGGAGTGCAGTGGTGCTCAGTTCACCGTAATCTCCACCTTCCCAGTTCAAGCAATTCTCCTGCCTCAGCCTCCCGAGAAGCTGGGATTACAGGTGCTCGCCAGCACACCCAGCTAATTTTTGTATTTTTAGTGGAGACAGGGCTTTACCATGTTGGCCAGGCTGGTCTCAAACTCATGATCTCAGGTGATCTGCCCGTCTCTGCCTCCCAAAGTGTTGATATTACAGGTGTGAGCCATCATGCCCAGCTTTCTTTATGTTATGAACAATCCAATTATACCCTTTTAGTGATTTTTAAATATACAGTAAATTCTTGTTGACTGCAGTCATCTTGTGCTATCAAATAACCAGATCTTATTCATATACTTCTGTACACATTAACTATCTCCACTTTCCCCTTTTCCATTCCCCACTACACTTCCCAGCCTCTGGGTAACTATCATTTTACTGTCTATCCTCATGAGTTCAATAGTTTTCATTTTTTTAGCCTCCACAATAAGTGAGAGCATACGAAGTTGTATTTCTTTGCCTGGCTTTTCACTTAACATCATAACCTCCAGTTCCATCCATGTTGTTGCAAATGACAGGATCTCATAATTTTTTGTCTGAATAGTACTCCATTGTGCATATGTCCCACATTTTCTTTATCCATTTGTTTGTTAATGAACACTGAAGTTGCTTCCAAATTTTGGCTATTGTGAATAGTGAGAGCAGCAAACATGAGAGTGCAGATATCTCTTCAATATACTGATTTCCTTTCTTTTTGGTGTATACCTAGCAGTGAGATTTCTGGATCATATGGTAGTTTTATTTTTAGTTTTTGAGGAACCTCCAAATGGTCCTCCATAGTATTATACTAATTTACATTCCTGCCAACTGTGTATGAAGGTTCCCTTTTCTCACTTTTCTCCTTGTCACCATTTGTTACTGCCTGTCTTTTGGATAAAAGCCATTTTAACTGGGGTGACATGATGTCTCATTGTAGTTTTGATATGCATTCCTCTGATGATCAGTGATGTTGAGCACCTTTTCATGTGCCTGTTTGCCATTTGTGTCTTTTTTTTTTTTCCCAGACGCAGTCTTGCTCTGTCCCCGGGCTGGAGTGCAATAGCGCAATCTTGGCTCACTGCAATCTCCACCTCCTGGGTTCAAGTGATTCTCCTGCCTCAGCCTTCTGAGTAGCTGGGATTACAGGTGCCTGCCACCATGCCTGGCTAATTTTGTATTTTTAGTAGAGATGGGGTTTCACCACGTTGGTCGGGCTGGTCTCAAACTCCTCATCTCAAGCAATCCACCCACCTTGATCTCCCAGAGTGCTGGGATTACAGGTGTGAGTCACCAAACCCAGCCATGGACTATCTTTTTTTCATCACTTTATTTTCAGTCTGTGTTTATCCTTCTAGGTGAAATCTGTTTCTTGTAGGCAACAGATTGTTGAGTCTTGAGTTTTTTTGTTTGTTTTAATCCATTCAGCCACTCTTAGTCTTTTGATTGGAGAATTTAGTCTATTTACATTCAGTGTTACTGTTGAAAAGGACTTACTCCTGCTATTTTATTATTTGTTTTCTGGTTGTTTTGTGGTCTTCTCTTCCTCTTTTTCTTTCTTCCTGTCTTCCCTTTAGTAAAAGTGATTTTCACAGGTGGTATGTTTTTATTTCTTGCTTTTTATTTTTTGTGCATCTGTTATATGTTTTTGATTTGAGGTTACCATGAGGCTTGCCAATAATAATTTATGAACCATTATTTTAGGCTGATGGCAAGTTAGCA